TCTCAGTGATGTTTTACAGTTTTAGAATACAGCCCTACATGTGATGTGCTCACTGTTTTTAAACTTAACAATTTTTAAAAAATTGACAATTGTTTGTTTCTAGTATATGGTACCCAGAAGTCTGGTTAAAATCACCCATTAGTTCTAACTTTTTTGTGGCATCCATTAGATTTTCTGAATGTCATCTTTAATGTAATTTTACTTCCTCCTACTGGTATGATGGTGGTTCTTCCCATGGTTGCAGATTTCTCAGCAGATCTCAAGGGTTCTTTCTTTGTACCTTTCATCTCTCTGATACTCAGTCCTGAGAACTCCATGATCTTGGTCTTCCTAGACTCACCAATATCTCATCAAAATAGGGAGCCTATACTCCATTTGGGTTCCCCTTTCCTGTACCATAGGCTGTTTTTTCCTGAACTGACCACTGCAGAGAATCCACCTGCCAATCCAGGAGGCACAAGAGATGTGGGTTCAATCCCTGAGTAGGGAAGATCCCCTAGAGAAGAAAATGGCAACCCACTCTAGTATTCTTGCCTGGGAAATCCCATGGACAGAGGAGCCTGGCAGGCTACAGTCCATGGGATTGCAAAGAGTCAGACACAACTGAGCATTTACACACAGGTACTTTTCTCCTTGAGAATTAAACATATTAATCATACCATTTTGCAGGACTGCTCTGATAAAGTAGAAGTAACAGGTTTCTAATATGCAGAGGTTTCCAAAGAAAGTGTACCATTTATCAAAATTAGCATGTTAAGTACAAAAACTACCAGTGTCAGCTTCGGTAAGACTTAACAGAAGTATATTTTTAAATACTGTAACATTTTACTACATATGACTTTACTGATGAAAACTAAGAATATTTTGCTAACTACACATGTACTTTAGGAGGAAAATTACTGTCAGATGCAGAGGATATCCCAAGTCATAGATCATAAAACAACTTAATTCAACATAATTAGATCCACATATTTGATCCTTTTTTCCTTGCATGATTAAAGTATCCTCAGAGTTCTTGGAAGATTCCAGAATGACATGATTTTAAAATACTCAAAGACAGATTACTTGCCATACAAATTTCATCATCAGTGTTAAATTTTACATATCATTTCAAAATCATTTTCAGTATACACTTATAAAAATTAATTTTATGGTTATCAATTGTGTTTCCTTAGATCTTGATGTTTAAGGTTTAAAAATTTCCAATCTCCTAAAGTATAGGGTGTGACAAAGAACAACACAATTTTAATAATGTCTATTTTATTTTCCTACCTGTTAAATAGGAATAGCATTGGCATTAGCAAATATTAGCACCTACAAACATTTGTCCATGTGCAGGGCACTGTTTTATGGATAAGAGACCCCAAGAAGCTTAAGCAAGACCTTTGTTTCCGTGTTAGAAATAAAGGTAAATTGAAAGACAAATAATGCTAATGCAAAAGAGGTATCAAAAATGGATGTAAATTTTTTAAAAGGTGTGGGTGCTTAAAATATTCAAATTACTGGAGATTATAGTTGAGGTAGAGCATATCAGGAAGTAGGGAGGGCAGGACAGGGATTAAAAGAGAGAAAAGAAATAAAATGTGGGGCTTCCCTGGTGGTTCAGTGGTAAAGAATCAGCTGGCCAATGCAGGAGACACAGTTTGGATCTCTGACGTGGAAAATCTCACAAGCCATGGAACAACTAAGCCCATGCACCACGGCTATCGAGCCTGGGAGCTGCAATTACTCGGCCCACGTGCTCCAACTACTGAAGGCTGCGTGCCACAGCGTCCGTGCTCCACAAGAGGAGCCACTGCAATGAGCAGCACACACACCACAACTAGAGAGCAGCCCCGCTTGCCACTACTAGAGAAAAGCCCACGCAGCAATGAAGACCCAGACAAAGATAAATAAATAAAATTGCTTGTTAAAAAATTAAAAGAAATAAAATGTGCCCTGTATTGTACAACACAGGGAATATAGCTAGTACTTTTTGCTAACTATAAATGGAATATAACCTTCAAAAATTGTGAATCACTATGCTGTCCACCTGCAACTTATATGATGTTGTACATCAACGAAAAAAAATCTTTTTAAAGAAATAACATGTGCCTGGCAGCACATTTTATAGTGAAAATAGTAAATCTTTACCTAAAATGCTCATCTAATTGAAAACTTCCATATGAAAGCAATAACAGCAAATGGTTATTAAAAAGGAGAAAGCAACTTCATTGTGCCAGAAAGTAAGGACACTGTCAAAGAATAATGTACATATTATAAGCTAACAGATGTCAAAGATGTCAAGCTAATAGATGTCAAACTAATAGGCTCCAACTGGCCAAATCCAGACTGTTTTGAGTATTAAAATAATTTTTGAATGAATATAACCCATTTAACAAAGAATCTATTCAACCAAATGATATATGTAAGTAAAAGAGGTAATAAAAAGTTTGATGAGGAATGGGATATTTATTTTAAGTGACTTCTCCTAGCCCACTATCCACTCAGGCCACAGCAGAGACAGCAGACTAAAAATGTCCTTCTCCCAGTCTTCCCCTGAAAGAAGTATATTTGCATACTTTAAAAGCTGCGGTCTGACGGCCCAGCTCCCAATGAGTCTGCATCTAGGTGCTGAGATCCACGCCACATCAACAAAATGAAAAATAAAAATCATACAACCATCCCCACAGATGCAGAAAAAGCATTTGACAAAAGTCAACACCCATTCATGATAAAAACTCATTAAAGTGGGTACAGAGGGAATATATTTCAACATAATAAAGGTCTTATATGACAAGCCCACACCTAACATTATACTCAATGGTGAGGAGCTGAAAGCTCTTTCATAAAAGCTGAAAGCATTTACAATTGCATCAAAAAGAATAAAATACATAGAAAAATTTAGCCAAGGAGGTGCAAAAACCTGTGCAATGAAAACCATAAGATATTGATGAAAGAAACTGAAGAAGACACAAATAAATGAAAAAACATTCCATACTCATGGATTAAAAGAACTAATACTGTTAAAATGTCCACACTATAGAAAGCAATCTACAGATTCAATGCAATCTCAATCAAAATTCAAACGGCATTTTCACAGAACTAGAAAACAATCCTAAAATTTGTAGGAACCACAAAAGACCCCAAATAACAAAAGCGATCATGACCAAGAAGTACAAAGTTGGAAGTTTCAGCATCATGCTTCCTGATGTCAAACTATATTACAAAGCTAAAGTAATCAAAACAGCATGGTAGAAAGTTAAAAAATAGGAGGTACCATTAACAAAGAAAAGAGCACAATTAATACTTTTAGTTACACATTGTTTTAGAGTTCCAAGCTAATGCAATAAGAAAAATAAAACTGAAAACTGTAAAAAATTAGCTTAATAATTGTCAGAAAGTATGTTATATAAAAGGGCTTCCTGATAGCTCAGTTGATAAAGAATCCGCCTGCAATGCAGGAGACCCTGATTCGATTCCTGGGTCGGGAAGATTTCCTAGAGAAGGGATAGGCTACCCACTCCAGTATTCTTGGGCTTGCCTTGTGGCTCAGCTGGTAAAGAATCTGCCTGCCATGCAGGAGACCTGGGTTTGACCCCTGGGTTGGGAAGATCCCCTGGAGAAGGGAAAGGCTACCCACTCCAGTATTCTGGCCTGGAGAATTCCATGGACAGTCCATGGAGTCCTCCAGTATTCTGGCCTGGAGAATTCCATGGACAGTCCATGGAGTCGCCAAGAATCAGACACGACTTATCGACTTTCACTTTCACTTTCATGTTCTATATATAAAATCCAAGAAAAACTTTTCTGAAAAAGTATTAGATCTCAAAATAGAGTTCAGCAAAGCAGGAAGACACAAATCTAATACAAAACAATCTATAGCCTATTATACCTCAGCAAGGAGAAGGCGAGGGTGGGATGTTTCAAGAGAACAGCATCGAAACACGTATATTATCTAGGGTGAAACAGTTCACCAGCCCAGGTTGGGTGCATGAGACAAGTGCTCCGGCCTGGTGCACTGGGAAGACCCAGAGGGATTGGGTGGAGAGGGAGGTGGGAGGGGGGACCGGGATGGGGAATACATGTAAAAAAAAAAAAAAAAAGATACACTATGGTTGTGAAACAAAAAAATAAATAAATAAAATGTAAAAAAAAATAAAAATAAATAAAAATAAAATACCTCAGCAATAATAATTTTAAAATGTAATAATTCCTAGATGCAAAAATTCTATAATTAACAATGTAAATTCTAACTGTATTAAAATGTAATTTCAATGCAATTCAAATTAAAAACCTCAAAATATTTCTTTATATAACTTCAAAATAATTTTATATAACTCAATATTCTTTATATTACCCCATAACTAAAATGCATTTCACTGAGAAAATACTCAAGAAGAGCTGAAAATGTTTTAAAAAATGAACAATAAGTCTGCTATAAAACAGTAAAAATGAGTAAAACAGCATAATGTTGGTGAAAGGTACTGCTTTATTTTTAATTTCTATTAACGGAATTTCTTAATACACACTAAGTCTTGAGACTTAGTCTCTAGAACTAAGAGAGTATTGTGGCTGTGTATTATGAACCACCAAGATCAACATCACCCAGCTTTGACAATTATTAACACTTTGCATATTGTTTTCAACATATGTCTTTGTTTTGTTCTTCCAGAACATTCAAAAGCAAACAGAAATATATCACTTCATCCGTAACTACTTCAGCATATATTGCAGGATATATGCCTAATAGACTGGACTTTAAGAAAACAAACAAAAAAATGGTTTTAGCACAGGAAGAGAAGAATAAATTGGAACTTCTGTTTTATCAACGTTCATTGTTCACCTACTACTTATATAAACTGGGTCAAAATAGTATAAAGTTCTTAATTATCTGACCCAGTCTAAAAAACAATGAACTCACCAACACTGACGTTAAGCTCCAGTATGATACAAATAACCTCTGGATTAGGCATCATATTACACAAAGAAAACACCTTCTGAAAAAATATACTACTTACTTTGGCTTCAGTTTCTCCCCTGTGAAGAGTATATAAATGATGGACAGCACTTTGTGATGAGGACCAAGGATGAGTCAAAATTTGGAAGACGTGAAAGTCATGGCCAAGGGTATCTGTTGTGACTAGAAGCATTCCTGGAGGACACACCAAAAAAGGGTAGAAATAAACACCATTATGTATGTGGATGAAATATTTCCACAAGGCACTCATCATACTTTAAAATATTATTGAAGGGAAAAAGTGACCAAATATATAAGAACTTGCTACAATTTAAAAAAATTAAAACACAGGACTTTTTTCCTGTGTGAATACAAAACCTTAAGGTCATATCAGTATTCATGCATAGTGACATACTTACATGTCAAGGTTTTATAATGTTCTCATACAACTAGTAAAGAAAAGTTTACAATGCCAGAATCACCGAGGTCACAAGCATTTTAAAATAGCAAATCTGATAACAAAGCATGTGAAAGACTTTCCTCCATGGAATTAAAACCCACTTTCACTTTTTCCATTTCTAAAACCTGAATTCTAAGTTCCAATTTGAGTACTACTACATTCATAATAACACCCTACTCAATTCACCAGTTTAAAACTTGTCTCCACTCTAGCCTATTTATTTAAATTCCCTACTGTCTTTCACAAAGCAAATTTTGATGAGATGTCATAGCTAAGAATTATGCACCTAACACAAGGTCACAAAAATTTTGGTTTCCTGTTCAATTTCACAGTTTTATGTTTTACCTTTAGGTCTTTCATCAATTTTGTGTTAATTTTTGTACAAAGTGTGAGGTATTAGAAATTATCTTTTTTGAAAATGATGTTCAATTGTCTCAGCAGGATTTCTTGAAGACTAATCTTTATCCATTAAACTGTTTATCTTTTATTCTACATTCAATGTCAACATGCCAGAGATCAACTGGCCATATTGTGTTTTTCTGGAAGTCCTATTCTGTTCCATTGGTATCTGTGTCTATCATTCACTAATATCACAGTTTCTTAACTTACTATAACTTGGAAATCACATAGAGCAAGTCCTTGTTTTCTGGCCTTTTCCAAGATTGTTTTAGCTATTTCAATTCCTTTGCCTTTCCAAACACAGATTCAGCTTTTCGATATCTATATAATGGGGATAACAAACATCTTAACAATAATGAGTCATCTCATCTATGAACATCTTATATTTCTTGATATGTCCTGCTTTTCTCTTTTAGCACACTGATTATATTTTCTTAGTGCTACTATAAATGGTTGAGTTCAATTCAGTTCAGCCGCTCAGTCATGTCCGACTCTTTGCGACCCCATGAACTGCAGCACGCCAGGCCTCCCTGTCCCATCACCAACTCCCGGAGTCTACCCAAATCCAAGTCTGTCGAGTCGGTGATGCCATCCAACCATCTCACCCTCTGTTGTCCCCTTCTCTTCCCACCCTCAATCTTTCCCAGCATCAGGGTCTTTTCCAATGAGTCGTCTCTTCACATCAGGTGGCCAAAGTACTGGAGTTTCAGCTTCAGCATCAGTCCTTCCAATGAACACCCAGGACTTATCTCCTTTAGGATGGACTGGTTGGATCTCCTTGCAGTAAAAGGGACTCTCAAGAGTCTCCTCCAACACCACAGTTCAAAACCATCAATTTTTCGGTGCTCAGCTTTCTTTATAGTCCAACTCTCACATCCATACATGACCACTGGAAGAACCACAGCCTTGACTAGACGGACTTTTGTTGGCAAAATAATGTCTCTACTTTTTCATGTACTGTCTAAGTTGATCATAACTTGCCTTCCAAGGAGTAAGCGTCTTTTAATTTCATGGCTGCAATCACCATCTGCAGTGATTTTGGAGCCCAGAAAAATAAAGTCAGCCACTGTTTCCACTGTTTCCCCATCTACTTGCCATGACGTGATGGGACCAGATGCCATGATCTTAGTTTTCTGAATGTTGAACTTTAAGCCAACTTTTTCACTCTTCTCTTTCACTGTCATCAAGAGTTCTTCTTCACTTTCTGCCATCAGGGTGGTGTCATCTGCATATCTGAGGTTATTGATATTTCTCCCGGCAGTATTGATTCCAGCTTGTGCTTCTTCCAGCCCAGCGTTTCTCATGATGTACTCTGCATATAAGTTAAATAAGCAGGGTGACAGTATACAGCCTTGACATACTCCTTTCCCGATTTGGAACCAGTCTGTTGTTCCATGTCCAGTTCTAACTGTTGCTTCCTGACCTGCATACAGGTTTCTCAAGAGGCAGGTCAGGTGGTCTGGTATTTCCATCTCTTTCAGAGTTTTCCACAGTTTATTGTGATCCACACAGTCAAAGGCTTTGGTGTAGTCAATAAAGCAGAAATAGATGTTTTTCTGGAACTATAAATTGTACTCTATTTCAATTACCAAATTTTCCTTGGCAGTATATAGAGATATAACTGCTATTTACATAAATATCTGTATGCAAGGAGATCCAACCAGTCTATCCTAAAGGAAATCAGTCTTGAATATTCACTGGAAGGACTGATGCTGAAGCTGAAACTCCAATACCCTGGCCACCTGATGCAAATAACTGACTCATTTGAAAAGACCCAGATGCTTGGAAAGACTAAAGGCAGGATGAGAAGGGGACGACAGAGGATGAAACGGTTGGATGGCATCACTGACTTAATGGACATGAGTATGAGTAAGCTCTGGGAGTTGGTGATGGACAGGGCGGCCTGGCGTACTGCAGTCCATGGGGTGGCAAAGATTCAGACAAAACTGAGCAACTGAATTGAACAGAACTGAACTGAACTGTATGCATACCTACACACTACAAATTCTAGGAGTTTTTATGTAGATTACATGGAATCTTCTTTCTAAACATACAGTATGTGAATAGACATAGTTTGATTTTTCTCCTTTCCACTCTATATGAACTACATGCCTTTTTTTTTCTCTTGACCTGCTATTTTTGCTGAGGTAGACAAAAATGATGAGAGGCAATATTCACGCCTTGTTCCATGTTTTAAAAGTAAGTATTCAATCTTTAAGTATGATGCTAGTTGTAGATTTTTTGTAAATTCTCTGTATCAACTTAAGGACATTATTTTCTACTTCTAAATTGTTGAGAATTTTAATAATAAACAGATGTCAAATTTTGTCTAATGCTTTTCTGCTCCTATGAGATGATTCTGTGGTTTTTCTTCTTTGGTCAATTAGTATGGTACATTTTAATAATGAAAGGTTATCAAATGTGGAACAGTCTTGCATTTCTGGGATAAACTCTACTTTGTCAAAATCCTTTATTACATGCTGCTGCACTGAATTAGCTAATATTTTGCTGTTTTGAATGTGTTCCTGGGGGATATTGGTTTGTAATTTTCTAATACTGTGTTTGTCTTTTTCTGATATTAGGGTAAAGCTGGTCTGGTTGCATAATGTTCCTTTTTTCTTATTTCTAGGGGAAATACTTTAATAAATGCCCAGTAAAATTTTCCAGTGAAACTATGTGGGCCTTTTTGTGTTTGTGTGAAGACTTTTAGATACAGTAATTTAATTTCTCTTTAAATTTTGTTAATATAAAATATAACAATTTTTATAATGTAAAATATATTGTATTTTTTTTTTGGAAGAATTACTCTCTGTAACTCAAGGAAATAGTCTATAGGGTCTTTAGTAATATCTACTTCTTCATTCAGGATATTGAAATTTTGTATCCTTTCTCTTTTTTTCTTGGTCAGTCTAGCTAGAACTTCTCAAAGAAACCATTATGGTGTCACTGGTTTTCCCTTTTCCATTTCACTGATTTATCTTCCTTCTTTTGCTATCATGACCATCTATTACTATTTCCTTCATTGCCCTTGCTTTAGTTTTATTTTCTATTTCTTCAAGTTTCTTAAAAGCTGAAGCTTAGATCACTGTGTCAGGAAGATATGTTGTTTAGTTTCCAAATGATTGGGTATTTTCCAGTTATCATTCATATACTAATTTCAAGTTTAATTCCATTATGATAAGAAATTAAAGTTTGTTTTATGTCTCAGAACAACCTATCTTACTAAGTGTTCCATGTACACCTGAACATTTGGTGTATTCTATCAGTGTAAATTAAGCTAATGGATAGTGTTATTGGATCTTTAACATCCTTACTTGTTTGCCTACTTTTGTGTTCTATTATTGAGTAGAAGTTAACATCTCCAAGCATAAATATGGATATTTTTTTCAGTTATATAAGCTCCCTAAATTTTAGCCCTATTTTTTTAGGTTCATACAAATTTAGGATTGTTATGACTTCTTGGTGAATCAACCTCTTTTATCATAATGTCCCATTTTGACCTTAGTATTTCCCTTATTCTGAAGCCAACTTTCTCTGGTATTAATATCACTACTTCAGCTTTGCTTTGATTGATGTATGCATAATATATACTTTTCTATTTACTTTCACAGTCAATATAGTTATAAAATGACTCTATAATAACTGGGGTTCAGTTTTGGGTTTTTTTATTCCTATCTCAAACTTTTAATTAGTGTTTATAGATCGTTCACATTTAGTGTAACTTGTGGGAAAGGCTGGATTTACATCTACCATTTTGCTACTTTTTATTATTTTTCTGATGGTACCATGTATTTTTTTCCCCTTGATTTTTTAAAAATTTTTACTTGCTATTGGTTGATTAACCAATTGCTATAGTTGATTAACAATGCTATGTTAGTTTGAAGTGTACAGCAAAGTGATTCAGTTATACTTATACATGGATCTATTCTTTTTCAAGTCCTTTTCCCATTTAGGATTTTACAGAATATTGAATAGAGTTCTCTGTGTAATATAGTAGGTCTTTATTGGTTATTTCTTTTAAATTTCACCCTTGTTTTTACTTTTGCTTATTTATCTGCTCTTGCTTCCTTCCCTTTTTTAGATAATTTCACTATTTTTAATATCAAATTTTAATTCATCTACTGGTTGTACTGGTTGCTCCAGAAATTAAAATATACATATTAAAACATTTGTGTGTTTGTTAATATTTTATCCAGAATATATTTGCTTTCTGTGAGAAAGAGAAGCAAAATCCTATTTTGTAATTCTTAAAATATCTTTGTTGAAAGAGTATCAAGCACCCATTGAAAGAGAAAGTGGGCATTTATATGGGAAGACGAAGTATATATGAGTTTTC